GGCACGCTGTGTTCGTGTAATATATGAAATGTGTGTTTATGTATACCTAAATCAAGCACATTCCCACCACGACTACTATCCAAACCCAGCGGCGCACTACACGTCGGACAACACTGCGCCTCAAACTCTTTAATAAACTCATAAAAACAAGCTTCATGCGATACATGCCCGCACGACAACTGCAACACCCGCTCCCCCCTAAGCGTATGTTCAAGCGGTTCTTCACAGACAGCGCACTCGCTGCCAACAAATGTTCTCTCCCTCCGTGGTCCCCTCGTCCGTTCGATGTCCATCATCATACCCGCACCCGCGACCGCCGTCATCGACCTGCCGCCGGAACCGGAACCGGAGACTGAGCCGGAGCCGGAGCGCAAGTTGAAGGATGACAACGAGTGGTTGGAGTGGGCTGGGTAGTCCGGGCCGAAAAGGTGGGAGTGGTAGACCAGTCTAGAGGAGGTTGTGGAGCGGAGATTTGGGTTTGAATGAGATGGGTGAAAAGAGGAATGGGATTGTTCTTCTTCTAATGGAGTGACTTGGCGGTTGCTGGAGGTGTAGGGACGGGCGAGGCGGGAGGTACGATATGGGGTAATGGTTAATTGGGAGGAGTCTGGGCGGAGGTATTGTCTATTCGTTTGCGAGGGGAGGTCTGTATATTGATGTTAAGTATTTGGTTTGGTTTGGTTTGATTCGGCTTGGAAGTTTGGGGGGCTTATGTTTTTAAGGTTTTGGGGGTCAATTGCGGAAATTATGTGGAGGGATGATAGGGGATTGAATGCGGGAGGGAATAATGAATGAGAGAATGATTTGATTGACTTGATGGAAACAAACGCAAACAGGAAGTTTCAAGGGAGAAAGTAGAGGCACAGATAAACACAATATGGTTGGCGAAGGTGTCAGCTAACGGGAAGATGCATATTGCAATGTCATGCGCGGCACACAGAACAGCAATAGGCCGATGCCAATCCACATCCAAATCCGAATCAATACCAACAACGTCAATGCCAGACAGGACCGATTTGGAGATATAAGAGGCACAGAATGAAGAGAGTAGAAAACAATGCAGCGCAGTGCAAAGCAAAAGAACTAGCCAGAAAAAAAAAGAAAAGAAAACAATGCAGCACAGTGCAGAGCAAAAGAACTAGCCAGAAAAAAGAAAGAAAGAAAAAAAAAAAAAAAAAAAAGGCCCACCTAACCGCGAAGACCTTGAGCGGCCAAAAAGCCCCAGGCGCGGCGACGACAGATGATGAGATTGAGATTGATACTGAGAAGAAGAATCGTCCTTGTTGGCGGAATCAAACCTGGACGACGATCGATGCTTCCACATCAGACCGGGAGCCACGGTGATAAGAGGCTAGGTTTGAGAGAAGAGGAGCAGGAGGAGAGAGTGTGTGAACGGAGGAGAGCAGAGACAGTTGAAGCCTAAAAGAGTAAAGAATAATAACGAGAAACAGTAGTCGTAATAGTCGCAGTAGCGGCAGCAGGAGGGAGAGAAGAGACGAAAGATCGAAGCGAGACAAGAGTAAGCAAAAGAGAGATGGGGCCGGGGAGGTAGAGGGGGGACGGGGGGGGGGGGGGGGTGAGGGTGAGGGTGAGGGTGAGGGGGGTTGATTGCGCTTGGTTTCGCCGACTGGGGGATTGATATTGGGCGTTCCTGGATAGGGCCCTGAACTCCCTTGGACACTGGACAGGCGAGGGAGGCGAGGGATGGGCAAGGGGTGGCGAGCAACGGCCTGGGGGTAATTTTGGACCGGTATGGAATATAATAATCGGAACAAGGAATGTTCTTTTTTGACGGCGCTGTCTAGCCAGAGGAGGTGCAGACAGGAGGAGTAGCAAGAAGAGTACTTAGTGTACACCCGCAAGTGGGCAGAGGAAGACTGTACTTTTGACTCCGTGAAAACCAGAAGATAAATGTGGAGTCGGGAGATAAATTAACGTAATTAACGTGAATTAGCCGGATTAATTTAGGGTAGGGTGATTAGTTTGGAGGATAGACTCCTTCGATGCTGTAGGGGGTTGTTAGTGTATGATATCAGGAATAATCACCGTATATTAGTATGGCTCATTCAGATGCCAGATCCAACAACGCCTGATCCAAGGGGTGGAGATCTCAATCGACATTTGAGCATAAAGTTAGTCTATCACTTGATATTGCGGGCAGAGAGAAACTGTGGATCTCTCCTCTTCCTCTTTTCTCTTTCACTGCCCTTTCTCAGGCATTTACCATAAACCGTACAGGATACACGTTTCCCGCCGTTCCCCCCCCCCCCCCCCCCCCCCCTCTCAAACCCAGCAGAAGCCACGCCGGGTGTTTCTGTCGGACAAGGGTTTTTTCTGGGAATGATACTATGTGCCGGCATGAGGCCCATAGAGAGGGTGAACATGAGCTGCTAGCCAGAGCTGGTTGGTTGGATACTGGATGCTTGGGCTGTGGCTTGCTGTAGCCTGTCGTTTGTCAGTGATTGCAGCATGCCAGACAGCAGAGCCCTTGGGTATGTCGTTGGAGGAATAATCAACCATAGGAATTAGTTATTTAGCTGCTGATGGCGCAAAGAACCTTCACTAGAGCATCTCATCCACGTTCTGCCAGGTTTCTGGAGTGGAATTCTGGTTCTGGATTCTTTTTTTTTTTTTTCCTTTCTTTTCTTTTCTTTTCTTTTCTTTTCTTTTTTTTTGGGTTAGCTGCAGTTGTACGGTAAAATAACTAGCACAGAAAAGAAAAAGCCTCGTTTTGCAGAAATTCCCGTGGTGTCTCCCGAATCCCAGGACGGCGGACTGTTTGGACGAATTGGACTGTGGGCAGGCTTCCGTTTGGCTGGCAATCGGCTGCTGACAAGTGAGTTAGTTAGTTACAGACTGGGGCCCATTCAAAATTAACCTTGAGGAGTGGAACCTTGTTGTCACTTGTTCAGGCTGGGTTCCTGGCCAGAAAATGCATCGAACAAGAAAACGTATGAGCGAACTTTAAACTGCGCCAGTCACTCTGCAGGACACCTGCAGGAGAATACATACCTGTTGCAGATTGTTGTAGATGCTGCAGCTGCAGAACTCGGAGGAGTTTTGTGCTCACTCTGATTATTATTTCAAGTAAGTAAGTAACTAACTAGATAGTTACTATGCAAAAAACCTCCGTCTACACGTAACTACCAGTAGACAAAGCGATTGCACTGCGGCGGAGAACCAAAGAGCAAAATAAACAAATCCCTCACCAATTAGATCATCAACTGCACACGGAGTACTGCATAAGTGGTAGATAAATGAGAAGGGGGCCAAAAAAAACTCTGATCCCTAATCCACGTCTGTGCCTCTGACCGGAGTAAGACGACCCGCTCGACTCGTGGTTATTTCGCCCTCACTAGCCCATGTAGAGGTGAAAGCAGGCGACAGGGGGTGAGGGTTGGGACACCTAGGTTAAGAAGAGGGGCAAAAAGAAGGGAAAAAAGAAAATATATAGGCATCGAAGCAAAAGCCACTCTGGAGCTCAAAAGGAAACTTCTCTTTGGAAGATTCATTGTCAAACACGACTAACCCGTTGAAACAGTTGCAATTAATTGCTCTCGACGTGGCTGCCACCCCAACGACTCACCAGCCACAACCGGAGAGCATCCATACATCTGAGAGGGGAGACCATATGATTATTCCCGTCAGCATCACCAGCACTGCCCGATATATCCTTAACTGTATACCGCCCTCACCCATGTCTATATAACTCCCTCAGGCCAAATTGCAGTTGACAAGTCTATATTCGAGGTTCTATATTTTAGATCTGACCTCATTACGCAGAGCACGGCAATTATCAACACAGCTCCGGGTTTGTTGTCCAGACAACAAACGGCGAAGATGAAGAGAGGAGAGGGAGGAGAGAAAGAAAAGTAGAAACGGGGTGCTCCGATCGCTCTCCCGGGAAAACACACCTTGTAACTAACTTCTCGGTCTGTTTTTGACGCGGGAAGAAGGCCCGACATCGATTTTCTCCATGGTTTCAAAACTGACAAACGGGAGGTCTGTGTGCTGTGTGCGGTTGATGTCAGCACAAGGCGAAAAGGTCAAAGTGATCCACAATATGCATCTAAGGAACTTGTTCCACGGACCGACCACAGGAGGAGAGGGACAGAGGCCCCAGGGTTTGAATATCCCTCCCGGGAATTTTTTCCAGATAATTTCCCTCGAAACAAAGTGGAGCAGCTACTTCGTCGTCTATGTAAATCCATTTTCCCTTTTCGGAGTGCTGACGATCTTCAGCTCGGCCATAATGGAGGGAACAAAGAAAGAAAAGAAAGAAAAGAAAGAAAAAGAAAGAAAAAGAAAAAATAGAGAGGAAGGAGGGGGGGATAAATCGAGGGTTCAAAGAATAATGGGTTCATCTCCAAACCGTCACCGAACAGCCATGAGCGCGGGTGAAGGCAGCCCCGTACAAAACTTCCACCACAGTCTACAGGCTGTACAACCCCCCGAAGTGAAAGGGGGGGTAAGATTTTTTC